TCCGGAGCCCTCCACTACGGCGTCTCTCATAATTATATAGTGGTTTCTGGACGTAAAGCCCCACATATCATCAATCATCCGCATAGAAGGAGTGTCGGATGTCGAGAATATCTTCGAGTTTTTTTTTTTTTTTTGCTAGACCAATCATGGCTATGTTGAAAAGCGTAGGCGAGATTACAGCGCCTTGTGTGTGCCTTTGCTCGGTAGGTGGAAGACTTTGGATTCGTCTTCTCCTAATTTGATGACAGCGGTTCTTTTAGTAAGGAAGTTCTGTACATAGTTGTACGTCCTTCGACTACAGTTTGTCGCTGCTGGCCCATCGAATATGGCCTTAAGGCTTACGTTGTCGAAAGCGCCTTTTATGTCGATGGCCATGGCAATGTTTTCTCTTGCTTTTGGAACGTTTCTTAGTACTTCCTCCTTTAAAAGCAGAAGGATGTCTTTTGTCGAGAGGTTTGAGCGGAAACCGAACATGGTGTTGAGCAACAAGTTATTTTGTTCAAGATGCCGTTGAAGTCTGGTATTTATTAATCTCTCTAACACTTTGCCTAAGCACGAGGTAAGAGAGATTGGCCTGAGGTTTTCTATTGCCGATTTCTTTCCTGCTTTGGGTATCATAATTATTACAGCATGCTTCCGTTGCTGAGGTATAGTGCCATTCACCCAGTGTTTGTTATTGAAGTTTAGAAGCGCTGTTATGGCTTCGTCATTCATGTTGCGAATCATGGCATTGGTGATTTGATCCGCCCCAGGCGCTGTGTTGCGTTTCATGCTGTCGATTGGCATGCGTAAAAGGTGCATCATCATTGATGCACCTTGGCATGCGTAAAAGGTGCATCAAGTTCTGAGTTTGAGAGCCCAGTGCATTTAGCCTGGTAAGGGGCTGTGACGGCTTGGGCGCCGAAACACTTAATATTGATGCCTTTAAGAATGTCGTCTCGTGTGCGTGGATATGTGTGCAATAACCTCTCTAGAGGGTTTTTTTCTTCGCGCTTAGTTTTCAGAGGGTCAATCATGGCTCTGAGGATATTCCATGTCTTTGCTGTTTCTAGGCTTCCATTTAGTGAATCGCAAAATTGTTCCCCGTTGGCGGTCGTGAGTTGATTAGAATACTCTTCGGCTAGCTGCGTTACTTCTTTAATTTTCACTTGCAGTTTCTCATTTCGCTCTTGCCTTTTCTATATTTTAGTGAGCTTTCTTCTTGCTTCCCACAGGTAGAGAAGGTGAGCGTCTACTTCATGGGTGTCATTTGTTGTAGTTACAGTTTTGGTGTACATTTGCTTTTCATTTCGGATTACGTTGCGCCACTCATCCAAGTCGTCTGTGGCAGTCCCGTGCGCTTTCAACGATTGTCTATATGCATGCCAGTCTGTTATTTTAGCTGTGCCGATGTGTTTGTGGATTCAGCCGGTGCGGATTGTGGTGCTTAGTAAGTAATGATCGCTGCCCATGTTTTCAAGGGTGTTGTACCAGTCCACGCTGTGGCAGTTTTGTACTATCGTCAAGTCCGGACTTGTATCCATGGATACGCTGTTGCCTATCCTCGTTGGTATTGCAGGGTCAGTTAACAGCGTCATTCCCAGTTTGTCGATTTGTCTTGCGATATTGTTGCCTTTAGTGTCTTGCATCTTACATATCCCCAGCCTGCATGCCTGGCATTAAAGTCTCCAACTATGACTAATGAATTCTCTTTCGCCAGTTTTGCTGTCTCTTGAAAGAGCTTGTCCAACGTTGCTCTCTTTTGTCGTGAGGGACTGCAGATATTAAGTACGAAGGCGCTCTTTCTATGGCTCCCTTTGTAGGGGAGCCATGGAATCGCTTCAATAATCATAGAATCGCTTCAATAATCACAGAGCCCATGCGAAATCAGCCCCAAGTCTACCTCTATCAAAACATCTCAATCTTCCCGACCATGCGTTCGACAAACTATCAGTAACGCTCTTAGAGACGGGATTTAAATCAAACCGAGAACGTGAACAACGAGAGTCATACCTTATCCACCGATTTAACACCCTCGATAGAGGAATAAATGAGAATCCCGGTACACTTGCATCAATTAAAGCATTAGAAAACAATAACGGCAACAATGAAAATAGTAACTGAGTTCACGGCACTGCAGCTGCGAAGGGCACTGGACAACCCAAAACAATTCCAAGTGTAACTACTCTTCCTAAGTGCAGCTGTCGTCTGTTTTCTGTTTTATTTTACTACCCAATCAATTTCGCCATGCATGACATGTCCAACAGCAACCCTGTGCACAGCCGGGAGGCCCCCACTACACTCGTAATCCAGAAGCGGGCAAGGAATTCGCATTGCGCCCGCTTACCAGCCTCTACCGCAATACGGGGCACCCCTCTTTTTACGACGAAATGTTGATAGGGCGCCGAGTAGTTAAAGGCTTAGAACTTCCTAAAATGCCCGCTTACCAGCCTCTGCCACAATACGCGGCACCCCTCCTTCTACGACGAATTGTTTACGGGACTCCGAGTAGTTAAAGGCTTAGAACTTCCTAAAAAAGCTCTTTTTTGCCCCACACCGAACCGCCAGTGCCAGGAAGCGCCGTCTGGCCGGGAGGAATGCGTTAGTGAAAGGAAACATACACAGACCGCTGACACCAGAAAGGTGAAGGGGAGAAGGGGGAGAGAGATGAAGGGGGAAGTGGAGTGAAGAGTGGAAGGGGGGCGCCCGAGGGGAGTCCACCATATATTATTTTTCTCTTCTTCTGCTCTTTTTTCTTCTTTTTCTTTTTTTATTTTTTTTCCTTTTTTTCTTTTCTGTCTTTTTTCCTCTTTCTCTGGCCTCTGATTTGAGATTGTATAAAGCTGAGCACCAACAAACTGCATCTTTAATCCTAATGAAGGCCAGACTCTAGGCCGAAACGTCGAGATAAACCACGTAGTGACCGCTCACGGAGGATCTACTGGACTATATACAACGCTACGGCCACTCAACCACCATGTCTGCCCTGCCTATATATATATATATATATATATATATATATATATATATATATATATATATATATATATAGCGAGAGAGGGAGAGAGAGAGAGAGAAAAGTGGGTGAAAAGATAACTTGCCGTGGGCAGGAACCGAGCCTGCGACCTCCGAATAACGCGTTTGATGCTCTACCCCTTATTCGGAAGGCGGCAACAGACTCGAGTAAGAACGACCTCAGTCACAGCACAGAGCGCAGTTGCGCTCGGTAAAACACATTGAAAGACGAAACGCTTGCACCGTTTGTTGTGGTTGCCCACCGTCCGTGCGCCAAAGTAAAACGATCCACCGATCGCGCTCTCTCGTTTGTTAAAAACCACTTCGGGGCAAACCGAATCGGCACAGCTGGAAAACCAAGCCGTGGAGTCGGCAGGGGGGCCTCCTACACCTAAGAGGCATAGGCCACGACAAACAAAGAAGCGATCCGAAAAAAAAAAAACGCACTAACGTCCGTATTGTGCGTAGCACCGTTGCGGAAAATTCCTCTCGAATGATACGATTCTGTCATCTTTTAGGGTTAAAATCTTAAGCCGCGATGGCACAGTAGGTCGCAGTGTTCTACTCGGGACATGAAGGAGGCGGATTCGCTCCCGGCCGCTGCGGTGCGGTCGAACATTGATGGAGGCGAGAAGCTCAAGCCCCGTGCGATGATGAACACCAGATCGTCGAAAATTTGCGAAGCCACCCTGCTGTGTGCCTCACTACGTTATCAAAAGTTTCGGTACGCAAAACAAAATATATTTTTTTAGCATTAGTTGAGACCAACCCGTTCACCACGTAAATGTTCTTTCTTATCGTCGACATGACGGCGAAAGCTAGACTGCCTGTCCGAAAATTTTATCGGAGGACAAATCTAGCCGTAGCTCACAGTTTCATTAAATTTACGATAACATGGCGTGCATGGAGCGAACGAGTGGCTGAAGTAGGAAATAAAAAATCGCAGCGCAGGTTGGTACCCAATTTCACTTCGGTGGTCGTCGGGGCAAACAGTGCTACATCTAGTCAGAATTTCCACTTACGCGAAACTTATGAATCTCGGATAGAACTAAAATTGAATCGTTTCATTTGCCTGGGCGAGTTACGGACAAGCATTTGCACGAAAGCTGCTTAATGTTGATCTCGTGTGATTGCGACTTTCTGATTTGTTTGTTTTCTAGCACTGGGACCTGTTAGTATGTTTGTCAAAAGCGCAAATAATCATCACCATTAACTGGCACGCATTTCTTTGTCCTCTTCTGGCTCATCGCCGTCTTGTTCACCTTCTGCTTCGCTACGAAGGCACGTGCGCCATTTCCCGAGCCTGGTCTCTAATAACTTCATAGATGAGAGAACGCGTACATAAATAATAATTGTTCCGAGTTCAATGCCCTAAAAGCACCGTACGATTATCTTTCTATAACAACGCCACAATCACTTCGAAGCACGAGCCCGAAAGAGCCACCATGTTCACTTACACTAGGTAGCCCACGCTAACACGGTAACGTTAAATCTGAAAAATAGCGTGCGTACGATGAGCGGTACAGGTCACGTACGTTGCTGCGCATGCGCACTTCAATCCCGCTAATCCCGGTAAGCTATAGCTGCCTATTGTGCGTGGGTAGTAAATGCGCATAGTTGAGGCTGATCACACGAGACATGAGCGCAGAATGATTCCGACTTTTGTTTTGCGTTAGTGGGTGCTTGGACGACCAATATTTTTGGCTTCGCAGCCAATGGCATCCTTGTGACTCCTCCCCCCTTTCTTCGCATGCAGTCATGCTTTGCCACGCCGGGAATTTTCTTTAACGAGCACTGACAGGGCACAACAGTACACGGGCATGCCTTCTATCGGTGTTTACGTGTTCTTTTTCTCTTCTCTTCTGTACATGGTTTCACTTTTTGTGTGTGCGTGGTGGATCCTTTCCATGGCTAGAGCGCAAATACGTCAAAGCAGGACAGCGAAAAGAAGCAATGAGTCGGCTGTGGCTGAAAACGCAGTTTATAACCGCTTGACAAGCAGTAAATAGGAACTCTTACGTGGCAATCATTTATTGACACATGCGACGAACATTTAACAAGTCGTACGCTTAGTACGCTCACACGAACATTTTTACCAAGAGTGTACATCTTGATTAGTACCATTCTCTAGCACAGACGAGCCGTGAATCTATCGATCGTTACACTACCACCTTTGTTGACGAGTAGACTTTTTGTTTACACAAACAGCCAAAGAAAGACAGAAGTCCTCAGTCTGAAAAACCGTTCATGGCCGGTCCGGAACATATTCGCATACTCTACACCGGCCGGCTCACGGGGCGCTATTTTTTGGTTCCCACCATGAGGGGTGGGCGGTGGTGGTGGTAGTGGTTAGGAGATGATAAAAGGCACCTAAGTTCTGCAACCCGGTCGGGAGCACGGCGCAGTGCCCAAGAGTACAGGTCGGCAACGTCCAATGTCATCACCGTAGGACATATAAGCGAGCGGGCCGAATTAAGGATTCAACTTCATGCACTTCATGCGGCACGTGGTGGACATTTAAGGAACTAGCCCCTCGTGAGCCGGAAACCTGGCCTCGTACGGGCGTGCGCATGGACGTTTTAGGAGTGGGTGCGCGCGCCTGCCGGATCTGGCAAAATCCTTTCGGCATGACCATCGAGCCTGCTTTGACGATGTTGCTCAATATAGCTAAGGCTTCGTCCGCGGTGAAGATTTTCCACGCCAAGGGGCCTTCGACGAACTCTGTCGACGTCAGCGCCAGGAATCGCAGCTCGGGAAACAGCGGCAGCATAAGCGGGCGAATGTCCAGCTCTTTATCGTTCGTCGTGAGTCCTGGTACACCGCGAGTCCTGGTACTACACGCCCACGTGTACACCGCTTTTACCACCGATATTTCGGGGGCATTGGCCGCGTGGCGGAGGACGAATTTTACGGTGAGCTCTGTGGAGTGGGGAAACGCCGACGATCCAATCACGCCGAGAGTGTCCCGACTGATGAGTGCGCTGGCGTGGTCAAGCAGGTTTTCTTCGCCCATTATGAGAACGTAGTCCAGGATAGGACACACGTCATCCAGCTTCATGTGGCCTTTCACGTACGACAGGCATTTCTCCTCCAGTTTCGGAACGAGGTACTTGGCTGCCGCGGTGCGGGTGCATGCGGCCTGATGCCCGTTAGCCACTTCTAGGCGTCCGGTGTAGAAGTACCTGCATTGCCAGATACTTTGAATAAGCAGCGAGCTTCAACAATGTGCCTCAACCTTGATATAATATGCGTGAAGCTCAGCGTGCTGGGCATAGAAAAGACTGCCACCTCAGTGTAGAGCGTATTTCAACAGCGCCATCCCAGCATACGGAGGGAACGAGCGAGAATTCAGCACTATAGGTTGATGGGGATAATGAATACATGAATTGAAGTAACGCAAGCCAAATGTCTTCCCACACATTATTATGCAGCCTGTGGTGAATGCGATGGTTTTGTACTTTGGAATAGGCCCTACCAAGGTGGTTTAGTGATTATGGCGCCCGTCTGCTCACCCAATGGTCGCGGTATTGAATCCCGGCAGCAGCGGCTGCATTTTTGATGAAATTGAAAATGTTGAAGCCCTCCACTGACGCCATCTTTCATAATAAAACCGCGCATTTCAGACGCTAAACCCCAGATAATAATATTAGTAGTAGAAGTATAGAGTCTTATGGCATCAAAAGTAAAGAACAGCATGCAGAAGGACCGAGCTGAAGCTTTATAGAGTGTGCAGCAAAACGGTATGGTTGGCTCTATATCAGGCAGATCAAATTATACAATTATATCAGAGATCCGTAAGTTCTACGTGAGTGGAAGTGCTGACTTGATGTATAGGAGAAACAGGGATGGGCGAAAATCCACGAAAGTGCAAAATCTGGATTTGTTCAGTCAGTCACTGAGAAAAGAGCACGAACACTGCAGAGTTTACCTCAAGAGGCCTCTGATGCCTTGCGGATGCAAGTCAGTGATGACTACGCGGTCCTCCTTGGCAAAGTCACCGTAAAACATGACCTTGAACACTTCGTTCTGTACAGCCAGAATCATTTTGTGGGCCTTGAAGGTTGCCTTCGTGCCCGGGAAGTGGGAGCAGTCCACCACAATCTCCACGTCGGCAAGTTCGCCAGAATTCAGACACTCGGAGAGAGAAAACACCTAGAAAACACGAGAACATGCAAAATGAACACTACCGTGGTGCAACTTCTTAATAGGGCTTGCAAGTATCCGCCAAACCGGTTTTTCGGTTAAACCGTAGAAAAGCGAATCCGGCCTTGAAAGCCGGTTATCCGGTTATCCGGACATAAAGAAACGGGAATTCTGCTTAGCCGGTTCGAATGAACGTACACCCTGTTATTCGAATATTCGGAAACGAATATTTAGTCTCGCTAAGAGCTTTTTCGAAATTTAAGGGCTATTGGATGCTCACCGACACAACTTGCGCAGCTCGTTAATTGATTACTGACGTAATCACTAATGGCTCATGCAAAGACTTCTCGTTTAACTGTGCATGCACTTTCACACCATGCGGATATTCATAACAGAAAGTTTGTGAATGGGTAACCACTAGCTACCTTTCAAAAGACATTATTACTAGTGACTCACGTAATGTCCCCGCATTAAGACAAATGAACAATTTGAGAAGGTCAATAAAAGCACATATAAAACTTGTAAAAATGGTTGCTATGTTTCCTACAAACACGAGAATCCAAGAAAGACGAATACTTATCCTAGCATTACAATATGAATACCTGATTAAGCGATTATCCGAATATGACGGTATTGTTAAAACCAACCGAATACCCGGCGGTCAATCCAGTTATCCGGTTTTCGCAATCGGATAACCAATTAATCAAATAACCGGATAACCGATTTTGCCGCAAAACTGGTTTAATGTTGATGCCCTACTTCTTAAGAGAGAGATTTCAAGTGCGGCATATGCTTCGAAAATTCTCAGCTACGCATGGCCTCTAGTTCATACAACCCCAAGGCTTTAGTGACGACGGTCCACGTTTTTTTCTGGCCAAATTTTGTATATTCATCACAATTTGTGAGTAACATGATGTTTTTATCACGTCAACTAAATAACCCATTGCAATAGGTTGTCAGTCGCCTGCTCTATATGAGTGTCGCTGCGATTTTGATTTCTGCCTCTCTCAGTGATTTGTCTCGTTGACTGTACTCACTTGCAGTGAAGCTAGGTGTCGGCATGCTGGTCAGATGCAACCATCACTGGAGTAGCCAGGGGCGAGATGTCTGGTTAGAAGGCTAAAGCCTCCTCCCGAAGCCCTCAAATGTTTTTCTCTGGAATTTACATATGTACAGAGAGAGAGAGAGAGAGAAAGATGTGATGCGGAAAGGCAGGGAGGTTGACGGGAAGCGAGTATCTGGTTTTCTACGCTGAACTGCAGGGAAGGGGCAACGGGAGACAGAACAGTAGAGAAGGGAGGAATGAGAGAAGGAGGCATAGAAGTAGAAACACAAACACAAGCACACAGGAGTGTCGTAATCAATCAACGAGGTGGGTCGTCGCTTGCAAGAACTTCAATAGCGCTTTCGTCGCTTTCAGGCGTGAAAATCGGTCTTTCCAGCATTGCAAGATTTACTCCCTCTCAAAAAGTGGCTTGTCTTCGAGTCGCGCAAGCACTGTTGCGAGGGGGTGCCTCTGACCGCTGCATCGAGGACACTGACATAAAACATGTTCAATGCTCTCATCTGTGCCGCAGTGTTTAAATGCAGCACTGTCTGCCCATCCGATGCTGCAATCAAAGAAGTTTGTGAAATACACTCCAAGTCACATGCGACGAAGAGTCGTCTCACATCGGGGTAGGCCAGATGGTATAGTAAGTTGACACGGATCCAGGCTGTGAAGACGGGTGTACATGTATACGCGCACATACACAAGTAGCAGCAGTTGTTGGTTGAAGTAATGACGCTAGTTTGTGCAGCCTAATAGGGAAAGGGGAAATGGGATATAACGAGGACAACAAAAGAACAAAAAAGAGTAGCCGACAGGGTATCGTCCATTCATGGACAGGCCGATGATGGAGGGAGGCCAGCAAGTCCGCGTACGGACCTACTCAAAGGGGCGTTCATATACATTTACTGTTCTCTCCAGATAGTGAGCCTACTCATAGGTATTACACCCCTCCTCATTCGAAACTTCGTCTACATGTACCGGGAACCACGAAATGTGGTGTGCTGCCGTTCGGTTGGTCGCGGTGCCATGAAAGGATTTATGCGCAATGGTCCATGATTGTTCTGATATTAGTCCAACTGAGTCACTGTAGGTAGACCTGATACCCTGGAAATATGTGGGGTCATTGCTGTCCCAATCTCTTCCGCCACCTGCCCGTGTTTTGTGCCAACTTAGGCGCAGCACTCGCTAGCTTTCCAAGCGCGTTAACAACTGATATTGGAAACCTGTCCACCCTGCCATATTTGGCTGCGTCGGCAAGGACAACCCCGGCCTGGTGGCTGTTGATCTATTAACGGGTAGTCGAGGGGTGGCACACCAGACCCGTGTGACCTCTCCCCACCCCCTCGACTTGTTTTTCTCATTTACAGAGCACAAAATTACACTAGATCAAATATACCTGCCTGGCATCCTCTTCAAATCAGGATGGTGCCCCCCCCCCCCCGAAAAAAAAGAGAAAAGTCTGGCTACGCCTTCGGATGACTGTTGCTGTTACTTTAATGTCTAATGGAGCGAAAGCCTCTGTCAAGCTTTAATAGATCTATTACGCTTGAAACGCGTCTTCTGTAGTAGAAGGTAATCGGGTTCCATGCGTTCTTAATTGATAGCCTCTCAGTGCATGCCTCTACCATGTCTTTATAGGAGCCAAATGACTGACGGGGTACCGGTGGTCGTTACAAATTATCCTAGAATGCCAACCGCAAGTACAGTGGATAAGTGCCCACTGCGCCAGAAATCCTTTTGCACATAAGCAAAGGCCCCACACGTCCATAACGCAATACGCAAACATACGGGGCTGCTTCGTTTGTCGATGCTTTTGTGGCTGATATTGATGAAATATGTATGAGTGCTTTGTAATAGGTGGGCCCTGAAAACACCCACTAGCTACGTAATTCACATGACTGACGCATAGTGCGTTTCTACACTTAGCCACGCAAAGTATTACATTCCGTCAGGGGACTCCTACCACTACAACAGTTTTATATATGGCTTCTTTTTCTTTTTCTTTTTTTTTGAGAAGCAGTCAAAAACGGTGACATGCTTCTCTGGTAGACCACCTAGTGGCCACGCAGAAGACCTAGCTTCTGTTCTGGTTCGAACCAAAAATATTCCTTATTTATTTTCTTTGCATGTTTACACATTCTTTGGGGGGGGGGGGGGGCATGGACAATACTATATTTTTCATTCATAACCAATGACATCAATGCCAGCATTTCTGCAAAACGAGCGCTTTCACGGTGACACCTTAACACGCGAGGTAGAATCAAAAGAGTACGCTGATAGCTTTACTAGGTTCAGTTTACTTCTATCACATTCAGTTCTTCGCCACTGCAGGGAAACAGTGGGTTTGAGTCCTTTCTGCAACAATTGTGATTACTCAGCAACGAGAACAATTGTAATCAGACAGCGTAATGTGACATTTGCAAAGGCTCGTATTAACTGTCTAGATTTTAAGGAAAAGACAAGTTCCTAAAGAAAAATAGACACCTCTACGTATGGCAACAAATCAATTGCGTTGGTTTCAGTGGATAGCTAGGCCGCATGTATTTCAACACTTGCATACTCCCAATACACAATGCCCCGCCACGGTGGTCTAGTGGCTGAGGTACTCGGCTGCTAACCCGCAGGTCGCGGGATCAAATCCCGGCTGTAACGGCTGCATTTCCGATGGAGGCGGAAATGTTGTAGGCCCGTGTGCTCAGATTTGGGTGCACGTTAAAGAACCCCAGGTGGTCGAAATTTCCGTAGCCCTCCACCACGGCGTCTCTCATAATCATGTAGTGGTTTTGGGACGTTAAACCCCACAAATCAATCAACTCCCAATACACTGAAGAGTAAAACGTGAGCAGCCAGGTGTAACATTCAAGGAAACACCCTTGGGTGTAATTTGCAAACATACATCTATAGTACACCTAAAAATGACAAATGGGTGTACAAAAGGTGGATTTGTGGGGTTTCACGTCTCAAAACCACCATTTGATTATGAGAGACGCCGTAGTGGAGGGCTCCGTAAATTTTGACCACCTGGGGTTCTTTAACGTGCACCCAAATCTGAGTACACGGGCCTACAACATTTCCGCCTCCATCGGAAATGCAGCCGCTGCAGCTGGGAATCGAACCCATGACCTGCGGGTCTACAAAAGGTGGAATTGCAGAAATTATACCCATGCGGGTAAGTTTGGCAAAAATAATAGGTGTAAGATGGATTATTTTTTGAAAAATCCACCCTTAAGGGTGTGAAATGATTTGCAGTGTATCACTTGGGCACCCTGAAAGAACCCGGCACGCATCAGGTGCAGCCATGGCCTCAGAGGCTCGCTGCACACTTAAAGAAAAGCAGCATTTACTGGTATTACTCCTGCTAGTGTTTAACGCAGCCGGCTGCGTTAAGTGGCTTCTATAAAGGGTGCGTCACGTCAATGACGGTATACGAACGATTTCACAATAAAGTGGCCCTAACGCAAACATGATTTCAAAGTATCCTTTCAGTACGTTTAACTCAACGCTTTCTGTTTACGTCTCGGTTTAATCAATGGTGGGTGCAATCGCATAAGTTACCTCGGTACTCATTTCAACTTGTGTCCCAAATTCCTGGTGGCGGGCTGGACAGTGACAGCAGTAACTGCAGCTTCCCCTTCTCTTGTTACATGAATAGCAGTATCCTGGAAAAGAAAACGAATGGGGAACGAATGCATTACGGATGAATGTTCTGCTAAAAGCCACCCGCTGTAGTGCTTCTGGTGCTCTACTGTCGACCCAAAGCTCGCGGGTTCCAGTCCCGGCCACGGCGTGGCAGCCGCACTTTGTATGAATGTGATAATTCTGCAGAGGCACGTGTACCTTGATTTCATCATCATTATCATCATCAGCCTGACTACGTCCACTGCCGGACAAAGGCCTCTCCCATGCTCCACCAGTTAACCCGGTCCTGTGCTTCCTGCTACCAATTTATACGCGCAAATTTCTTAATCTCATCTGCCCACCTAACCTTCTGTCTGCCCCTGACTCTCTTGCCTTCTCTGGGAATCCAGTTAGTTACCCTTCATGACCCGTGGTTGTCCTGTCTACGCGTTACATGCCCGGCCTATGTCCATTTTATCTTCTTGATTTCAACTATTATATCCGTTACCACCGTTTGTTCTCTAATCCCCTCTGCTCTCTTCTTGTCTCGTAAGGTTACACCTACAATTTTTCTTTCCATTGCTCGCTGCGTCGTCCTCAATTTAAGCTGAACCCTCTTTGTAAGACTCCAGGTTTCTGCTCCGTAGCTAAGTACCGGCGAGATGCAGCTCTTATATACCTTCCCGTTGAGGGATAGTGGCAATCTACCTGTCAAGATTTGAGAGTGCTTGCCAAATGTGCTACAACCCATCATTTATTTTTCTAGTTACTTCAATCTCGTGGTTCGGCTCCATGGTTATTACCTGCCCTAAGTAGACATATTCTTTTACAACTTGACATGCACTATTACTTATCTCGAAGCACTGCTCTCTTCCGAGGTTGTTGTGCATTACTTTCGTTTTCTGCAGATTAATTTTAATATCCACCTTTTTGCTCTCTTGGTCCTACTCCGTAATCGTAAGGTGCGTTTCGTCCCCTGAGTTACTCAGCAATGCAATGTCATCGGCGAAGCGCAGGTTACTAAAGTACTCTCCATTAACTCTTATCCCTTACTGTTCCCAATCTAGGCCTCTGAAAATCTCCGCTAAGCACGCGGTAAATAGCATAGGGGAGATTGTATTCCCCTGCCTTACACCCTTCTTGATTGGTACTCTGTTTTCTTTATGAGGCAATATGGTAGTAGTCGATCCCCTGTAGATTTCTTCAGGATGTTTATATTCAGACAGCCAGTACGCGTGGGACAAATACAAGGCAACCGAAATGCTTTTTGATTCTCTCGCAGCTAAAGCCAAGCGTTCTTTATATTCTTCTACCTTACCTGATATGCTCCGAAAAAATCCTAAGCAATTTTGGAAAACAATTAACCCATCATCTATTACCCCTTCATCGAACATTACACTACGCGACGAACAAAATGTTTCGATTCCTGAACACTACACTTCGCATGTAATTAATGAAACCTTCTGCTCTGTATTCACCATAGAACCTGACGGTAACCTTCCCCATGCCCTTCCTGTATGCCACCCGATCATGTCGAAAATCGTATTTCATGCCAATGGTATTACCAAGATAATCGACTCGTTAAAACTTACTTCATCAATGGGTATAGATGGCATTAACACAAAAATATTGAAGAACACTAAAATTGTAACAAGTGTGATTTCATCTAACATTTTTCAGCAATCCCTCTCATCTGGAGTGGTGCCCCAAGACAGGAAGGTAGGCAAGGTCATTCCAATCCCAAAGAAAGGTAACTCGTATTCACCCAAAAACTATCGTCCTATTTCGCTCACGAGTGTATGCTCTAAAATAATGGAACACGTAATCTATTCCCACATAGTCAACTTTCTCGCACCTTTTCATTTCTTTCATAAAAACCAACATGGCTTTCAGAAAGGTGTTTCGTGTGACACTCAACTAGCTCTGTTTACTAAAGACATTAGCTCTAGCATTGATGTAAATATACAAGTAGACGCGCTCTTTTTAGACTTCGAAAAAGCTTTTGACAAAGTTCCTCATAAACGCTTGTTCTTAAAACTTTCTTGTCTCAACCTTGACCCCTTAGCTTTCGATTGGATTTGCGACTTTTTAACTAACCGCCAGCAGTTCGTTTACGCAAATAATCTTTCTTCGTCTTTACGCCCCGTCATTTCAGGCGTGCCTCAAGGCACGGTTCTAGGACCTTTGCTTTTTCTCATATATATTAACGACTTGCCGAATAATATTTCTTCTAACATCAGACTTTTCGCCTGATGATTGTGTTATTTATCGCCCAATTAACAACACATCAGATGTTCATGAACTTCAATCTGATCTTCATAAAATTGAAATCTGGTGTACGACGTGGTTAATGTCCCTTAACGCAAACAAAAGGTCACTAGTCTCTTTCCATTGCCGACAGTGCTACCCATCTCCAGCACACTTCATTAACAACACTCAAATTTCATGCGTAACTACATACAAGTATCTAGGTGTCCAGTTTTCTTCTGATTTAACATGGTCGCTTCACATAACGCACATTATTAACGAAGCAAACCGTGCTCTTGGCTGTCTGCGTCGAAACCTTCATCTAGCTCCTACCCCTGTCAAACTACTCGCTTATCAGACACTAATCAGACCAAAACTTGAATACGCATGCGCTGTTTGGGACCCTCATCAGAGTAACGATACTAAAACACTTGAAACAATGCAAAGCCGAGCAGCAAGATTCATCTTTTCAGATTATTCATATCAGTCAAGCGTAACCGAACTTAAATTTCGTGCTAACCTCGCTACCCTTTCGTCACGCCGCTGTATAGCTCGTCTGTGCCTGTTTTTCAAGTTTTATCATGGATCACCTCGTACTCCAACCATCAAGCCAGCCCATCGTCATTCAGACCGCATCAATCACAGGAAAGCTGTTTATTCGCCAAGAGCTCACACCACTGCGCTCCTTTCATCCTTCTTTGTCAAGACCGCACAAGATTGGAATGGCCTTCCTCCTCACGTTGCGCACCCCTCCAGTATCATCAACTTCAAAGCAGCGATCGAGCATCTACTCCTTTAACCGATTGTAATAGCCCACCCCTCATGTAAAACCCTTCATTGGGGCCTTTGAGGTACTGTAAATAAATAAATAAATAAATAAATAAATAAATAAATAAATAAATAAATAAATAAATAAATAAATAAATAAATAAATAAATAAATATACTTCATTGACGCCCTGATTCCGCAGTGTCTGCATGACTGCTGATATTTCTATTGAATCAAACGCCTTCTCGTAATCTATGAAGGCTTTTTGGGGCGGTTGATTACATTCTGAGCATTTCTATATTAACTGATTGATAGTATGAATGTGGTCGATTGTTGAGTACCTCTGTTTGAAATCCTGCTTGTTTCTTTGGTTGATTGAATTCTAATGTTTTCTTAATTCTGTTAGCAATTACCTTTGTATATAGCTTGCACACTACGGAGAACAAGCTGATCGGCCTGTAATTATTTAACCACAGGCGGTGAAACCTTCCTGAGCCCTAATTCGGTCATGGCGTCCTGCATAATCAGACCGTGGTTTTGGTATGTAAAAACACAATAGCTCTTATATTACTTTAAGAGATTCTTTGACATTAAAACGAGTCTCTTTGAAATCTTGCTTTTGTTCTGCAGCGTTTTCTCTGTAGTCGAACCTCGGCGTATTCGGCACCTTCTCACTGATACCCTGACTAGTTCACCTTTAGCAGTATGTTTTCTTAGGTCTGGTTTACTGGGAAACGGAACACTGGACTTCTGTTATTGGGTTGGCTGGGCTGAGGGTAGAATATAGCGATGAAAGGCGCGCCGTGTGAGTCACGCTGGCAGGAAGGCCGCACGAAACGTGATATCGGTGTTGCTTCGTACGCTCGAAGTGAGGAGGCAAGCAGCACAGGAAAGAGGATAGCAGCGGGCCGAAACATTGCGTGGCATGGTTGTGCCATCTATCAATACTTTTTCTAACGACAGCTACGTAACACTATTGCTAAGATTGCATTGTTATCGCACGCTCAGCAGCTGCTCCTTGTGATAAGGCCTTTGCCATCATGGTAACGCACTCCTTACTTAATTACTTACTTACTTAATTAGAAGCGCCGGAGATGAATTAAGCAGCACAGCTCCTCTCTTTCGTATAGCGTCGAACCAGGCGACCTGCCCACCGCCGCAAAGCACATGGCTAAATAAGGTCTTTGTGGCTGCGCCCTATAGCGTTACGCTATCGTTCGATAACACCCGACAGCAGGGCTATTCATGTCACAACGGTGTCTCCCAATCCAATGCCTATTCAGGGCATGACTAGCGACACGTCGTGTAAGCTATAGCCTCGTACGGCCGGATCAGAAATCGAGCCGTCGGCATTGCTAAGTCATCATCGGCGCTACTTTCTGCTGCTTTCAAATAAATTACGCGTCAAACACAGTTGTACTGTCATACCGAGACAAGTTGGTTCCCCAGCTGCAGATCTGCCTATTCACAAGTAGTTCTAGGTATAACTTACGCATCAGTCGAGAATTTATCATGACATAACCTTAATTTGGGGAGTCATATATATATATATATATATAATTGGCAGTATTTCTAAATTTCGTGCTTGATTGATTGATATGTGGGGTTTAACGTCCCAAAACCACCATATGATTATGAGAGACGCCGTAGTGGAGGACTCCGGAAATTTTGACCACCTGGGGTTCTTTAACGTGCACCCAAATCTGAGCACACTGGCCTACAACATTTCCGCCTCCATCGGAAATGCAGCCGCCGCAGCCGGGATTCGAACCCGCGACCTGCGGGTTAGCAGCCGAGTACCTTAGCCACTAGACCACCACGGCGGGGCTAAATTTCGTGCTGATCAGGAAGCAATAACAACAGAAACCGGACCGGCGCTGCACTGAATACGGGTACCCTACTCCTGCCAAATGACAAAGGCAGTCATACACCATTGATCCGCACTGGTATGACATATTTCAACGTTTAGTCAAGACGAAATATAAAAAAAATAAGCCACGGCTCAAATACTCATAGCATAGCCAGCAGGCGGGGGTTCACGTTCCCCGAATTTTAAAGTTTGCTGCCACCAGTATACACGTACGCAAGGCTCACTACAAACGCTATGTGCTCATAAACAAAGCATGCTTGAACGCAATTCCTCCAGAAATTCTGGTCACGTCTTAAATGCACATAACTTTGTTGCTCGTACCAATATCGTTCGTGCGAGCTACCAAGGGCGTGGCCAGAAATATTTTTCGGGTTGGGTTCGAGCATGCTTTGCGTATGCGCATATGTAAGCTTGTATGTGTGCGTATCATATACAGGTGCGCAAACTAACTCCATCCCCCTGGTTAGGTCAGTGCGGGCAGCAGCTGACGAGGTATATTGCTAAACGAAAAACAACACTCGTGCACTTACCGGTCATCCCTTTGTCACAGCAGCTAAGCAAACGACTGCCGTCCAGTGAAGCAAGCGCCGTATCCGCAGGCCGCACTTTGGAAACAGTGCAATTGAACGGGAGGTGAGGGGGCGGGAGAGGATTGCAAAAGATGATAACAATGGACACTAACCCCCGTATTCTAGTGAACGTCCCTTCACTCGACGCTTCGCCTTCACTTGAGAAAGCCGATGGGAGCGCCGTTTCTAGGCACGGCAAGTCACTGCATATCAGCGATAATCTGTTGCAGTTCTTGAGTTGCGCAGCGTCTTTTTCAGCCGAGCGGTGGCGCAGTGCTCAACTCTTTCAAGTGAAGGGTGGAAGTCGAGTCGAGGAGCGTTTGTGAATACGGGAGTAGATGTCCCTGATAACGATCTCTAATGTAATTCGCTTTTGAGTTCATAGAGGAAGAAGGGAATAAACATGACAAGTCCTCCAGTCACATTGGTGATGCCTTCTCATCTCTAACGTCCGCAGCGCTCTCAGGTGAAAGATCAACTAAACAGGAAGCTTCTCTGATGCCCTCCGAGCACATGTGCACCACATGCCTCCGAGACTGCTTTCCTTTTCCAGGGGCCGTTTCGTATTTCGAGGTCGCTTATCTCCGTCGTATTGTTTGGAAACGCGCACGCCCAAAGAGGAAAAGGGCGATAATTCTGCTATTCTTTTTTTTCTTTGCTTCTGCTTCACCTTCATGAGTTTACGCGATAGCGTAATCAGACCGTGTGCGCATCGTCCTCTCAAGTGCAATGCAAGCCTGGCGTCGGTTCTCGGTGTATAAGCATCTACTATGCCGTAAATATAAGAACGACTCTGTGTGAATGCTGCGGCCGTTTCAAGCTCTATCGTAGAATATGTGGTGCCAGTGCGGTCTTGTCATGAGTGCGCCCATTCAAGTGGACCTCGTTCATTGATCAAACTGCAAGTGAATTTGCGCCAATAGAAGACGTCGCCAGACAGGCGAATTCGGAGTCGTCCCCGTAAGCGGGGCCTTCCGTATCGTACAGCAGAAGACACGAAGTCGCCCCCTACGCGGGCGCCACGGTCCCGGCGTCGGGCAAAGTTCAGCGTAAACACCGGCGCGGCAGGAAGAAAGGCTCCTCTTCTGCAAATTGACTCCGAAGGAATCTCGGGAGAGGGCCGCGATACTTCGGCGAAGCTGACCTAGAGCTCGAGGCAGTCGAACCTTGGCCCGGGCGAAAGCAAGTCGCACACTTACTCCGTCTGGACAGCACCCACATTGACTACACTCCGGTCCCTGGTGTCAAGTCGCTGGTGTAAGCTATCTTATGTTATCATGTTTTTTCATGTGTTCTTCTTTTGTGTAAAAATTGTTGATTTTGCGCATGTGCGTACAAGATTTGTGACCCATGTGAAATTGTGTGTTTATTTTGTTCACTAAAAGGAAAAAGAACTAAGCTTTTATTTTGCCTATGCATGTACAGTGAATTACGCGATATTTTTGTAAAATGCCTACAGCTCTTGAAGGGTTCTTGGGCTCTCTCAAGATGTCTCCGACATGTTTTCGCCTAAGGACCTCCGACTTGATGTTGTTGGAAATAAATTTGACTTGACTTGACTTGAAAAGTGGCTTGCCAGGCTACGCCCCGAGGGCTATCCCGGACCTCAACTGCCACCAACGAAAGTATAGTAGGACTTTATTGTTTTTTTTAACGTGCAGCGAAATTGGGTTATGACTTGAACTCTTTATTAGTGATGCCGAATTCGTAAGCAGCTGCTAGAGATGTTACATTGTTGTCAGTACCTTTTTTGTGTGTTTTTCATTTCCATGTTTGATCGGAAGTAAATAGTTGAAGCGAATTGTGTCCGTGTGCATCCTTCTGGTTTCCATCGTTTTACGAACGGTGACAGGTTCACTACGCCATATTTCTTTTTGCGAACCAGAAGAAGTAGAGGAGCAAAACATTATTTTGAGGGAAGGTAGAGGGGTACTCGGTAGTACTGTTGGTCGGGGCCCCTAATCAAGGGTCCCACCGACTTGTGACTCACAAGCGCTGACTGCAACCCTGGGTCCGAGCTGGCAAGTTGTGCCTCCCACTTCTCCGAACTTCGCACAATGACGTTGCCTTCTCTGAAACTCAATATTTTTCTCTCACTTGCCAGTGGAGCACACAACGAAAATATATTGCGAACCAGAGAAGGGACCCCTACGCGTAAGGCAACCTACTTAGAAGTCTGTTGATGCCTTTACATCTAATGATCATTGACTACGTCTGAGCACTTTTTGGACTAGGCGGGCCTTTAGTGCACCCTCTCGTTGCTCAAGTTTCACATTCTGACGCCTGGCCCTATTCCATGTTTCTGTCACGTAATGCTAAATGCGTTAAGGAGACTGATTTCACTACATGACAGTCGTATACAGTGTTTTTTTTTTTTCTTTTACAAAACCAGTTCCAAGCAATAGCGCGGCTCTGTGGTTGAACATATGATTGCCACTAAGACTGTCTTAGATTTCCACTCAGAGTGAAAGTTTTTATCATTTATTCTATTTGCATCTTCCTCGATTTTCCAGGTCACGGACAAGATGATTTTGTTGTCACAACCAGCGATTGTCACGCCGATGCTAGAATTTCTGCGAAATGAGCTCTTTAACGCCATCACGTTAACACTGGCTGTCGCTTCTCTATGGGGCGAAAATTTCGTTGTTTTCGCAACTTCGATGCATAAGATTTGTATAAGCTATATGATGTGCGCTCTTTGCAGTCGATAAGAACGCGATTATCATATCTCATGTTTCACGCGCCGTATGTAACATACACAGTGCTTATCCATGCATGTGTGTCTGTCTGTATTTCCGTGTCTTCTTCATGCGTTTTTAAACATTTGGCCGCCGTGGTGGTCTGGTGGCTATAAGGTACAGTGTACTAGTACACTGTCTACTCTGCCGCTGACCCGTAGGTCGCGGAATTGAATCCCGGCTGCGGCAGCTGCGTTTCCGATGGAGGCGGAAATGTTGTAGGCACGTGTGCTTAGATTTGGGTGCACGTTAAAGAAGCCCAGGTGGTCGAAATTGCGGAGCCCTTCACTATACGGCGTCGCTCATGATCATATGGTGGTTTCGGGACGTCAAACCCCACATATCTATCTATCTATCTATCTATCTATCTATCTATCTATCTATCTATCTATATATATATGTATATATATATATATATATATATATATATATATATATATATATATATATATATATATATATATATATATATATATATATATATATAGATAGATAGATAGATAGATAGATTTCTCCTTCAAGCAGACATGCCTCTCAGATCGACTAGTACCTAAATACGGTACGCTTGAACACACAGATTGCGTCAGTATGGGGAAGCATGCTAATCGGACAAAAAAAAAAAGCTGTTCTCGGCACAGCTTCAAGAAATTTGGAAAAAAAATTTGGATTTGAAATCAGTCTTGGCCACGCGCCGCGCACCAGATTATTGTTCCGGACTTCCCGAACGTAAAGGCTCACGGCAGCTTCACAGCTGCATGCGCTGAGGCAGCGTACATGCTCTCAAGCAAGAAGTACCTTGCCCAAATTGGAGCAGCATGCATCAACTTGTCCTAAGTGGCTGATACGCGAAGCTGCCGTTTGAAAGAAAGGCAAGAGAAAATTTTCAAGCACAGCGCCGCCAACGGGCGCACACGCGCTTATGGGAAAAGTTGGTTCGCAGCAGCAGCCGTCGCGACGAGTGCGCGGGCTTTACGCTTCACCATTCCGTTTTTACCGTGCCGGTGCTGATTGATTGATTGATTGATTAATTGATTGATTGATATGTGGGGTTTAACGTCCCAAAACCACCATATGGTTATGAGAGACGCCTTAGTGGAGGGCTCCGGAAATTTCGACCACCTGGGGTTCTTTAACGTGCACCCAAATCTGAGCACACGGGCCTACAACATTTCCGCATCCACCGGTAATGCAGCTGCCGCAGCCGGTATTCGAACCCCGAGACCTGTGAGTCAGCAGCCGAGTACCTTAGTCACTAGACCAACGCGGCGGGGCCACCGTGCCGGCTCTTCTCAGACCTAGTGAACTCGGCAAGGTGTGTTATACTACTACGTGTTTAACACACAAACTTACTTGTATGGGTGCGATGGCCTGTCTACGATTTGCACTGGTCCTCCTGTTCAACCAGCTGAGTGGCTCAGAAGTGTTAGTTTGTTATTACTATCCGTTAGCGTCAGTCCGCCTTCGGTATAAATAAAAAAGTAGTACAAGGTGGTAGCCTAAAAGGTGGAAGCACTGTTCATAAGTTCACGGATGCATTAGGAAGCAATGTCATTTGAAACTGTTTACGAGTCAATTCTACGGTTCCGGTATATTCAGCTTGAGAGAGCTTTCGAAATAAGCGCAATTTCGTAAAACAAAACGCGTGGCACAGGTTTCACGCTTGTTGCCATGACAAAATTTCAAGGGTTTTCAAGCCCTTTCAAGGCTATTTCTGCGAATTTTCAATGACCACGCATTGTGCGTCAGAAACCTAATTAACGTATTTCAGATAGTGTTAAGGCTTCGGCGAATTGATTCACATACAGGATATCATGTATGTGAATGTTATGTATGTAAACTATTGTGAATTGTGTGAACATAGTAATATGTATGTGTACATAGCTCAAATAGCATTGTTACATAGTATATGTAATATATACTGTGCAATATATATCAGGGAGAGTGTCCAGTATAGTATATACAATGTACCAGCGCTATGACCCGTCTCCTCTATTTCTTCCCAGCCGTCTTGCGCTGTATTCTACAACAAATTTCACGAAATCATGGATGCTTTAATTAATAAGAATCAATCGAAAAGAATAACGTCTCTTGATCAGACACCGAAAACATGGTTGCAATTACATTTTCTATCTAGAAAACTTTTGAATCCTTGGAGTTCAGGAGTAAGTATACTTTCAGTATTCCAGTTATCAATGGTGGCGTACTGATTGCCGTCGCCGATAATATAGTGTCTACTAGGATCGCATTTACCACATCCTTAGAATTAGTATGCGTACGTGCTGTCTTAAATCAACTAAACATATTGCTCTGTGCCTGTTATCGTCCGCCAAATGCACCAACTGCTTTGTGCGATGAACTTCATGACGT